AATCACAGTCACTGAGATATTTTGAATTAGCAGCACTGTCTGTGTTTCGAAGGGCACCCTGATGAAGAAACACAGATTATCCCTCATATTGGCAAAGTAGTATCTGGGACAAGCTTGCACAATATCATAATCTAGGACTCAAGGTGTCCGTGGCCCTTGCCCAGGTAACTGCACCTGAACTGTTGACTCCTCACAAGGTTAAGGCTAATTCACCAGAGTCCTAGTCACCGTCTTTCAACGTGTGCTGGAAAGTGCTGGAAGTGTGTCGCATCCCCTGCATGTCCATATCTGGGGGCCAGATACAAAACCCAAGCTGGCCATCGGGCTGAGGGCAGCAGGGAAGGGGCAAAGCACCCAGCCAGCAGCGTGATGGCTTCTGCTGCCAGAGGGAAGAGGGAGATGGGGAGCTGTGGAGGAACTTCTTCGGTGGAGGACAGAAAGCAAAGAGTCTTCAATTCTTGAAGCTGCGCAGCAGATTCCAAGGAGTCGCTGCCTGGCATTTTCTCTCTCAACAGCAAACTGCTGGCCAGCCGCTGTGGAAGGCAACTCATCAGTTTGCTTACATTGTTGCCTGGAGCTCTAAAATAATTTTTCTGTAGCTAGAAAATATTTGGGCTTAACTGAAACTGGTAGTGCTGCAGCCCCAGGGAAAAATATGACGAGGGAAGGAGAGACAGGGCTGAAAATGCCGGAGACGTGCTGTGTTTGCTCAGCAGGCTGCCGGTCCCCGGGCAGTCCGCAATCCCGCATGCCTGCCTCACAGAGCAGGTACGCGACGCGTGCCTTGCAGAATACATCTGTGCTCCAGAGGACACTTCAGCTTCATCGGCCTGTGAGCAAGAATCAAGGCATGTCTTACAAATAAATAATTTCAGAATGACAGGACATGTGAAGGCTGATTTCAGCAGGCTTTGTGTGCTGGGTTGGATTATTATGTGCGTAATCGGGTGCAGGCAGCGACTGAAGCCTTTCCCGCAGCTCTCTCCTCCCTCCTGTGAGTTCCCTGGTACTCACTCACATGTTTGCTTTCACAGTAGTCTGGCTTTCTGGAAAGGATGCTCATTTTCATCTGTCCTCCCGCCTAAGTTTTGCAAAGCTGTGAAAGCAGACTATCTTTGAGACATCCAACACTCAATTCCTTTTGGTTGAAAAGTTTGACTTTCCATTTTGGGAAAAGAGTTGTGGTGTAGCTCCATTGGAGGAGGACTTCTTAAAAGCCTGATGTCTGATGTCTCTTCAGTTAATCATACTTTCCAAAAAAGTTTACTTAATGTGTCAGAGCTAAACAAAAGTGCAAATAAAAGTCATGCATATGCAATATAAATTACCCATTCAATTCTAAAATCATTCAAGCCTCATGAAGTTCCTCTGATGGTACCTGGAGCTGAGAAAGCTCTGCCTAAATCTAGCCTCTTCAAATCAGAACTGAACTCATTTTTTTTGTGACAGAGCAGGGAAGGGAGCCTGTGCTTTATTATTTTTAATAACAGAACAAGAAGTAAAAGAGTTTTCCTTTTCCAGGGTTCTCCAGTGAGTGTTTTTTCACAGCTAATATCTTTTCTTCTTTCAAGGTAAATATATTGCCCTCTCTCTGGATGAAATACAAAGCCAAGGAGTCTACATTAATCTCATAATTTTAAGATGAAAAAAACCACCTGTACTCTAAGAAGCTAACAAGAATAGATAGCTGACCAGCATCAAGGTTTCCACTGTGGTTTGACTCTTGCTGCCTGCCTGCTGTCCAGACAGTTCTTTGAATACGAAGACTGGAGTGAAAGTGTTGCCTTTCTACTGTATACACGCACTTTAGCTCAAGCGAATTTAGCCATGGGCACAGACTGACTCCATTCCTTCTAACAAATATCTCACTAGGTGTCTCACCAAGACATACCGGTGCCTTTTCTGCAGAGCAGCCACTACCATTGCTCCTTCTGCATGCAATACGCACATGCCTGCAACCTAAAAAAAAGAAACACCCCAAACCAAGAAACTGATGAAGTAATAAGCAAAACCAAATGGCGTAAAACCAGGTACTGTAGGAATAGGGTGAGGTTGGAATAATCTAATTTACGGTTAACAACCCAATTTTCCATGAGAGCAAGAGGCCATGCTGGAGCCACACTAACAACTTTTATTCTTTCTAACAAGGCTACTGTCACCTGAATTGCACATCAGAGGATCATTCTGGTCACAGATTCAACCCCGATTTAAAATTCAGCCTACAAGAGACCCAACAACCATCACAATGAAATTCAAGAGAGATATGGAATTCAGAGGAGTGAAGAACTTAGTTAATATGCAAAAATAACACAAATTCTGTCATGATAGCATGAATAAAAGGATATTAAGAAATTCAAAAGTTCTCTATTAAGAAGTACAAAGTTGCCTTAGTCTAAGGAGCCCCAAACTATTATGTCTTAATAGTAGTTGGGTGGTTACGATGTGCTTCCACAACAGGATAAAATGATGTTGAAGCTTCCAATACTGTTTACTGATGTATTAGGATGTGGTTTAGAAGGAATGATTTATTTTTAAAAGCATGCAATGGAGAGGCAGGGCTGCAAGGCAAGGCAACAATCAGCCCCCTACTGTGTGACACTTTCTTTGGGTATCCTACCAGGGTAGCCTTAAGATTACAGCCTTTCCTCCCAGCTTAGAGATGGACTGATGGACTGTCAGATTAGTCCTACCCCTGAGCAGATTTGCCTTTCCCTTTTATCTCCCAGCTTTCACTGCCTTCTGCCCTTCTCCATCTGATTAGCTGAATTATCAAAGCGTATTTTTGTACTGAGCAGAATACCCCATCCCAGCACAGCATGGATGGATTTTCAAAAGAACCTAATTTTGGTTTTGATTAGGCTTTTGATAAACAGAGAAGACGAAGCCAGCTAGTCCCTGCAATGAGTCTACCAGGCACTGCTGGAGGTTAACCGACAGGTGTTCATTGCTCCGAAAGGCCTCCAAAATTTTGCTTTTTAAACCCAGGCTCTATCGCTGTCACCTCTCTGTCTTCACTCTCTCCCCTGCGCCTTCCTGCTGCCTCCTTGCCTTGAGCCTCTCCCCACATTTGCCATCACTGCCTTGCCCCACATCTCTCCTGCTCCTGCCTGGATCTCCTGCAGTCAGGGCTGGAGCCAAGCCAAGCAGTCTTGGTGGAGTTTATCAGCTCAGGATCTGCCAGCAATAGGTGTTGGCCCCTGCTGGGACTGGCATTCCTCACCACCGAGGCGTGCCTCTGCTGCTGGAGGCCATGTGGGCACTGAGGAGCCCCAATGTCACCCACAGACAAGTGGGACCCGTGGCACCATTCCTTCCAGCCATGCCGTGCTGTGTCAGGAGCCTCTGTGCAAATTGCTATGTCTACGTATCACAGCGATCTGCCTGTCAAAAATAGTAGCTTCAGTCTTGAAGTCGGTATGAAGATGCTGCAGCACCCAGATTAATGAGCACGCTCACTCTCAGCAGGGCCAATTAGCCAGGGTAGGCTGGTGGGTTAATTCAGTTCCAGAGCTGGCTTGTTTTCTAGTTGTGACCTTGTTTGCCTCTAATTTGGGTATCTTTGCATGCTGTCACACCACATCTTGGGACCTAGCAGCATCTATGCCACTTCTGAAATGCCGCTTAGTCACTTAGTTCATATAAGCCTTGTCACACTCAGCAGAGCTATACATAAATATGTTTTAAATATCTAGGCACCAGCACGCTTCTCAGGTGTTTTCAGGCATCCAGCCCACACAGCCATTTAATGCCAACCTGAGAGTGGCTGATTGCTGCTTCACGCAAAACCTGGACTGACGCACTGTTTGATATAGCTATCACAAAAGTAAATCAAACTGCAGTATAAAATGCAAGGATCAAATTAAAATAGTAGCGATGGCCATACCACCAGTTCACACGAAGAGGGGACAGCTAGAATGGGCACGTAGGAGAGTGAAAATCCACTGGAAAATGTAAGTTCGGTGACAACCCCTGAGAACTGTTTACATTTATTTGAAGAATAAAATCCTGTCTGTCGCCCTCATTTGCTCTTGAGGGAGGAAACTAACACTTAAAAGATGTACATAAACAGTTTAAATGAGGTCTTCAGATTTACTTTCAAAATAAATTGCCTTACACTGGGGTCGTACTCACAAGGCTCAAGGTAGTGGTAGCAAAAAATGTAGTAGGCCTTTACCATAAAGACACAACCTTAGCCAAAAAGGAGTTAAAATTTTAAAAAGTCAGGAGAAAATTGCTCATTATACCTGCAATAGTCTGAATTATTGTGCTGTATCCGTCTTTTAGTATTACCTAGTCATCAAGGTTGAAACATCTTGTTACTGCCATCATTCTCCAAGAAGCAATTGTATTACCGAAGACATTATGAAAAAAATGGAATTCTCCTGATTAGTAGGAACAATGTAGCAGGACCAAAAAAAATGCTTTTATTCAGTATCTTGGAGGGATAGACAGGGCCACATTTCTGAAAAATTGCCTCTTTCATCTCTCAGAAAATTGAGCCTGTAATTATATTCTAGATCTTGGTAGAGACTTAGTTTTTGTATCATTGTTATGCACTTGTTCTTTACATGTATGTTAATGTGCCTTTTTTAAGTTTTTGTAATTTTTATGTATGGATGATTCATTTTAAGCGGCAGTAAAGGAATCTTGAAAATTTTCATCTTTTTTCCACACGTTTTTGCAAATCTGGTCACAGCTTTGCATAGACGTGAGTTTGTAAACGGGCATTTTCAGCCTACGTATTTACAGGACCAGTTCTAACTTAATATGAAATAACCACGGAAAGCTGCAACATCCTTCGTACTGGAGCAAAACTGTAAGGAGATATTGAAAATGAGCTGCTGTTAAGAATAACTCTGCTAAATTGCAAATACAGATGTCATGGTTGGGCAGGGCGGGTTTTGCAGGAGGCTTTGGGGAGGCGGGGGGAAGGCAGGCAGGGTGGGGAGGTGCGATTAGCCGGGGCCCTCGGCAGGGACAGGGTTATCGCCGGCGGGGACTCCTGCCAGGTCACAGGGCAGTATTTCTCTGAAGCGGACAATCTGCAGGAGTTCAGTCGTAATGAAACAGGATAAAGTGTGTTTTCGTAAACACGGAAAGGACGCAGGCTCACGCTGCGAAAACAGCTGTGAAAACTGTTGGTGTTTCGGATTCTGACTTTCTCAGCTTCAACTTTTAAGATATTTAATTCTTCACAGAATATTTAAACAGGAAACAGTGATTGTGAGTAGAAATTTAAGGTCTGAGTGGGAAGAAAAGAGTGTTTTCAAGGGCATAGAGTGTTTGGGGTTTTGCTTTTGCAAAATCTTGTAAAACCAGAGGGAATTAAGGGGAAAAAAGGAAGTAAACTTTTTTATCGGACATATTTTCCCACAGAACGCTCAGTGAAGCAGAGATGCTTGTTTCAATTTGTGCAAATCTCCAGTTTAGGGAAGTACGTGACTATCACAGGGGGAGTTTCCAAATTCAATGTCCGGATCTCTCAGACCCAGATTCTGCACAGAGAAACCAAAAGGAAAACCTCGGGCACTGCTGCAACTTCCAACATTACATCAATAACTGCGTTGCTTCACTCACCTTCTACTTACTGTAGGGTGGCTATTTTTGTCTGCAGTTGTAATGCCAGAGCATAGCGATAACTCACTATGAAAGTGCATGGGGCTTCACTGCGTAGTTTCATCTGTGCTTGGGCTGAGCGCTGAGCCTGAGCCCCACCAGCCCCTTGGCGGGGCTCCGGGTAGCAGTGTGGCACATTCGCTTCCAAAGCTCCTTTTCATGCTATGCTGATGCCTTCTTTTTTGCTTTCTTTAAAAGGCTTTCCATTTTTCATGGCTTAATTTCTGCTCAAATTTTAGAGATTGGTCAAGGGAGAAAAAAAAAATTGCCCACAGGCACCTAAACGTTTAATCCAGCTCTGTATCTACTACCAGATGACTCAGATGTTACTCATATACTCTTCTACAGATCAGAAAGCTTGTGCTCACAGATCCCTTGCAGGACTAGTACCATACTTCATGAGTTAAGAACAGCTCTCCATGCTCAGCCATGTTTGGCTTTGGCATGTTGCATATGACAAGGCCAGCTGTACTAGCAGGGGTCTGGACGTCTCATCAACCAGAAAGAGCAAGCAGCTCTCTCTGGCGTCCTCCCCCGTCCCCCAGCAGAACACATTTTTCCAAAGCCACTGATATTCTTGCAGCACAGACCTGATTTATGACTGGTGTCTTCAGGAGCTACTGCAGTGCACATGCTTAATTTGACAGTAATAGTCACAGTAGCACAAACTGATAACACAGAGGATCTTTCTGCAAATGACTTGCATTTACAGAAAAAAATTCCGTCAGTATTTCCTATTTTCAAACATTCAAATCTGTGAATATGAATGCTCCTGCATTTGTATAAAAATATTCTCAAGATGCTTACACTAAAACATTGTTGAAACATGTAGAAATATATATATAGATATATGAGAGGAATACAGAATGAGAATTAAAGAAAAGAAATACACTAAATATGCTGTCAGAGAAATACACTACATAAATACCTGTTTTTAAATTGCCTGTTCAGCCCATATAATGGCCCAATAACTAGGTTGCTCAGGCAGATGGTTCCCTCTGCTACTTCCAGTTGAAGTACACAAAGCTGAACTTCGCAATGAGATAAAAAAGTTGAGCTACTTTCAAATTTCCACACATTCAAGTACATCAAGCAATTCGCAGCCACGTTTTGTGGATTAGCTTTTGCAAGCCCTGCTAGAGGGGCCTCGTGCCCTTCGCCTTGCTGGAACTGCACGCTGAGGAGCTAATACACAGGTTAAACCTGCCCAGCCCCGTGCCATTCGCTGCAAAACACCTGGTAGCAGGGTCTCTTCAATTAACTGCGAATGTTTTTAACATCTCTAAGTTATTTGTTTGATAGAAGGCAATAAAGGAAGGTGAAAAGGGCTGTCCCTTTGACCCACAGCGTAGCGCTCTGCAGCAGCACGCAGTAGCCTCGGGTGGTTTTTATGCCCAGGATTAAGAGGGATTGGGAACGATGCAGAAGCAGCATGCTGAATCAAGGGTCGGAAATCGCTTTGCGGTGCAATTTCTCCAGTAAGATTCAAAAGCGATGATGATTTCCAAGTACAAACAAACAGCCTATATGTCCTATATTCAGATTTTGTATATTTAATCTCAATTTGTGTACAGTAAATGGTGCAGCTCAGAGCTTGTTTGGATGAGCTGACAACGCTGCGTTTCATGGCACAAAGGTTTGGCTGCAAGTGACAAAGCTATCAGAAAATTTGGGAGAAATGAATGCAAATAAGTTTGTTAAACTTTGACAGCAAATGAGAGAAAAAAGATAACTTCTTTTCAATAAGATGTTGTGTCATGCCCCTTTTCCCTTATTAGGGAAGGCAATGAAGCATTTCTGTTTATGCCAAACTTGCTCCTGAGTGTTGTGGATACAGTTAGTTTCAAATATGTATTCTTTTTAGAAACCTTTATCTCCCCACTACACATTGAACTTTGATGAAAAAAAAGATTCTCTTGTATCTATTCTCAGTCAGATGGACTTCTACCTCTGGGTTTTTTGCCTCATGTTCATTTTGGCCTTCTGAAGGATTCAGTATTATGGAAAGTGAAACATTTATTTCCCTGCAAAGTTCTCTCCTTGTAAAAGCAGCATGCCTCTTTTTTTCTTCATCCTTAATTCTCCATCCCTTTGGTCCATTTCTTCTCTGCAGTCTTCAAGCATCATAAAAGCCGCAATTCTCTTTTCCCTAGGTTTCCAATAATTATCTCTTACTTGTTTCTACAGCCTCCTTCCTATTCCCTTTAAGAAAATTGCCAAGACTCTACAAACTGCAGAATGAATAATAATGAAGTTTCTTATTGAACACTTAGCTGTAAGCACACTCAAGAATTATCTAAGTTTGATTGTGAATGAAAATCTACACTTAACCTTGCCTCAGATATATATCTAGGTGCATTAAGAATATCAGCAATATCTGTGGCAGACAGAAATGTCTCCAAATTTTCTGCAATAAGCGAGAAAAACTGTTCTTGATTTGCTCTTCAGCAGTCTGAAGAATACGTCTTATCATAGAATAAAAGTATTTTTTTTCTCTTAGCTGAAGGACAGAGCTGCATAGTTCATCATTGACAAGCTAATGCATTTATGGTCCGAATAGCTCTCCTCACCCCCAGACTTCAGGCTTACAGTGGAATCCAAGGTATGTAATGGTGATATGAACACGATATACTTTACTGTAACCTGTGCTTCAGGCAGCTGTTAATGCCAGTCTAGCTTTCTGTAGTCTGCAGCCAAAGGAAAGTTGTCTGCAGCATATGTATAGCCTCACTCCCCAGCATACTTACTGTGAAGGCGATGGCACGCTGAAGTAGATGCCACAGAACCAAAGAGCCATTTGTTAAAACTCAAGCCTCAGATGTTAATGTATATTTGGGATCATTTCTCTGCCTAAGAAAGAAGTTAATTTCCTCCCTTCTAAATTACTTTTGCGGCAGCGTCTAAAGTCTTGCACAAAGATCCAGAGACACATTGTACTAAACTTGACGGAAACAGTGGGAAAGATGGTCCGGCTCCAACGAGATAAAAGTCAAAGGTAGCAAAAGGTCAAAACACATAAAGGGGAAACCAAGAAGTGCAGTGGGAAGGGAAGCAGAGAGATACACCGACCTTCCCACAACTGCTGAGCAGATCAAGAACAGAGGGATTTCAGCTCAGTCTGTGGGCTCCTAGTCTAATCTTCTATTGTATGCTGCTGCTTCTGACAATCTTGGTCAGGAGAGAGATGCCTTACTATTTCAATATTGCCACAAATAATCTCTTTTTAAGTTGCTCTTGTTATGCAGACCCTTAAATTTTCAGACCCAGTTTATGCAAGTCATATGATGCTTTGTTAACCGGGACATCATTGTGTTTTTCACCGAGTGTCAAAGCTTTCAGTGGCAGGCAGGTCAATAATATCCTACTCCCTGCTTAATTTATACTTATGCACACAATGTAGATCCAAAAACGTGCACAGTGAGTTCCACTGCAGCATCTCAGTTAGTGGTTCTGGTCCTGAACAGTCAGGAAAAGGAATTAATCAATCTTACTGCTTTTCCTTGGACTCTTGCTCTCATTGATCTACAGAAAAGAACATGAGTAATTTTTACATTCAGACCTTCAAAAAGCTGGGTAGCATGGAGGGTTGGCTTGGTTTTATTTACATGCAGTGCTCCTCTTAAGACATCCTGACAGGATGTTTACTTTTGTGCAGCAGTATGATATGGTTGACTCGTGTGCTTTTTTCTTCTTCTATAATCTTCTAATATTTTCCTACTGAACTGCTGCTAATAAGCGGTTTTTTCTAATTTTCTAATTATTGTTAATTTATTAACATTAAATGATGTTTATCAGCACCTAAATGTACCTCAACTATGAAAATGCCAACTGAAGTGTTATCAAAGGCTTCGTTAACCTCATCATATATACTTACAGCTTCTCCCTATACTCTTAGCTATGTGCATACATTAGTGAAAGCAATGGCAACACGCATTGATTGTACTGTGGGTTAGAATTTAATTATTACAGTTCATAGAACAAAGACATAATTAAGTTCCTGCAATATACAACTTTACCTTCTTCTCAATGTTTTCTAGAAAACCAGTTCTCCACAAAGTGACTCTGTTCTCAATCACACTGCCAAAATATGAAACTGCGTTCATAATTCAGATGCCGTACACCAAGTACATCTCCAGCATGGAGGTCTCAAGATCTTTTTGGAGTGCAAGGGCATCACCTGTGCTTACAAAGAGGTGGAGCTCAGGTACGGACCCAGCTATCACCCACATCTGAATTTCTCATCTGCAGAGCCAGCTATCGGGTACCAGCCTGAATTTGCAAGTGCACAGTGACAGGCAGGCTTTGTGGGCGAGGGAAGATAAGAAGTAGGTGCAAAGTTTGCAGCAGATCAATGTGGACAGCACGGACATGCTATTTATCTCCCCAGAGCTCCTTGGAAAGGGCTCAAGAGACCTTCAAGGGCATTTCCTCTTAAAAGAGAGAAAGCGGGCACCTCCATAGTTGAACTCCTTAGTGATCTATAAAGGATTAAGCGTTAGAGGGAAACAAGAGCAGCCAAAGGTCTGTAATTGATTTTTGGCAGAGAGGAGCACTCAAAAAACCCCACAGATTTGGTAGTAGCAGGCAAAACTGACTTTTTGGATCTAGTGCTGCACGGAAGCATGAAAAGGGTGTAGACAGGAAAAGATGACAGCAAGACCACAGGGCAGAAACAGAGAGTAGGAGCTGCCTGCATGTTAAGAGGAGAGGGAAAAGAAGGCAAAAAAATATATTAATGTCAATTTTCTTTCCATAAAAGCCCAGTTTTCTACTCAATTTTTTTTTCATTTTACCTTAGCCTTTGACGTCAGTGAACGGTGTCTATTCATTCTAGCAATAAATCTATCCCACACTTTCCAGATCCCACTATTTAACAAGATTCTGGAACTTTGTAATTCGATTATTTGCACATTCCTAATGAAGTACTTGTCTGTGTGACATTCTGACCACTACACCTGTCAAAAAATACACCTTGGAGTAAGTGTAACAGCAGGTTTTGCTTGCCTGAGCTTTTTTAAAATTGAAATATAATTCCAAAAGAGGAGCTAACCTGCGTGTGTAGAATCATGAGACTACTTTAGCATCCTGCAAACATGCTTGGAGAGACCAAAATTAAACATTTAAGCATGCTGATTAAGGCATTGATTCTGCAAATACTTACAGTCAGGCTTAATCCCTTTGAAATTGGGGGGACTATTCACCGTCAGGAAAGCTGTGCCTGTGAGTAAATATTTGCCCCCCTCAGCCCTTGAAAGCAATTGCAGGCAATATTTTTCTTCTAGATGGGCAGTGCTCACTCATTGTCAGTCCACAAGTATATGAAATTACATATATTGTAATTGCAAAAATTATATAGGACTGCCCCTAATAACAGCCTGTAGTCAGTAATTGGCTCAGTGGTGAGACGAGAAGCGCTTAGTCATTCCGTGAGAGGCACGCAGGAAATGCCAAGATGAACTGTCGTAATTAGACACATATTATTAGTATTTATTAAAACACAACTAGTTACACTGGTTGTGCATATTCTGTAGGCAGACCTTTTGAAAAACGGAGTAGTCTAGCCTTAGCCCTACAATATAGGCCTTGTTTACAATAGAAAGTTGTGCTGACCTAACTGTGTTACTACAGTTAAAGCTGTACCTCTCCCATTTAGGAGTTGTATCAGAATCACTTATTTTTCCTTAGCAGAAGGAAAACCAGTGGCAGTGTAAAACACCTTCGTACCAGAATAAGCATGCATCGATTTAAACAGTACAATTAAATTGGTTGTAAAAATTCTCACAGCTCAGATAACATAGTTAAATTGGTACGTGATGTATGAAGAGACCAGATTCTTTATTTCACAAATAAATGTGAATCAGTGAATCTTACCCTGCTTGCATGCGAGAAGAGAGAAGTGAGAATGTCCAGTGCGTAGGATAGAGCCTTTTATGCCTGAGCATCTTGTGACCTAACCAGCAATCGCAGCTCAGCGAAACGCAATGTATTCATTTGGCGGCTGCTGTAAAAGTACTTGAATCAGCCTGAACTGATTCTTTGAATAGGACCGAAGAGGAAATCACTACGGCTGGAAGGAGAGAAGCTGCTCATTTAAGAAAACAGTGAAAGGTCACAGAGGGATAAATGTTTCTGCCAGCATTAATTTTACTATGATGTTCCAGCTTCTCGTCTTGAAAACTGAAGGAATTTTTTTGACTCGTTCTTCCAGTCAGAGAAAGTAAGGGAATATGCATGTATATGAATAAGAAACTCACTGCGTTACAGTGGAAGCTGGTTAATACTCTCCAAAGAAGTTTTTTCTTTTCCAGTGATCACTGGTAGCACCACGGCGCTGGTGGGCGGACGGCAGGACCAGGTGGCGGAGGCTGGGCTTCTGCTTGGGACCCTGCCTCTGGCCTGCTGTAAAACCTCTGGTAAATCACCTTCTCTCCGTGTCTCAGTTCCTTCCTTTACAAAATGAGAGAAGGTCAATTTGCAGAGCACTTTGAGAAATAACGATGACAAACAAGTGCTATATATTAGTTGGGTGGAATTGTTATTGGCTTCTATACCTTTTCCTTTTCTTGTGCAATAGCCACCATTAGAGGCAGAAATTTCAGCTTTGATTGCTTATTAGATCATTTACTAATTTTGGATCCAAATCTGAATTCAGATTTCAAGTTAAATTCAAAACTCCAAATGCTTGAATGCAATTTTTCAGTTTGAGGTATTAATTTCTTAAAAATGCATGTTACAGAAAATGCAAATTTTCATGTGGAATACTTCAATAAACCACGTTTTGTTCCTATTTATTACCTCGAATATCCAAATGGACACAACTGATCTGCCCAGCAACGTTTCCTCTTTTTGAAGATTCCCCTCATTATGTATTTATAGAGAAACTGCAACAAGTAATTCCATTACCAATTGCTACCAGTAATTCCATTAGGCTGAATCACCAAGTAACCTTGTTTCTGACACTCTAACCAGATATATCACATGAAGTAGTGAACTGAATGCATCATGCATCAGGCGCCTGCTGAGAAGGATATGCTGAAATCTAGGAAACAAGAAAACAGTACACGGGTATGGGACCTAACAAAATGGGACAGAATTTGGAGCCCATTATTCCTTCCTGTCCCTTACCAGTAAATTTACTACACTTAAACTGCAGAAACCCAAGAATAAAAGCTTTGATTTGCATAATTACTTGACATGTGGCATATCTTTTATGCAAGGTCTCGAATACAGAAGTAAAACTATTCACATGTGAAAATATTTTCAGGATCAGAGCCAATCCTGTCAATGTTCCCATACGTAAGTTCCAGGCAGCATGTTCTGTCACTGCAAGATCACATTTGGTTTCAGTTTTACTGCTTTAGTTCTGTAAAGGATCAAATATAAGTAAAGTTAAACCGGTATAAAGGAAATGGAAACTAGTCCCAACTGTTTGTATACTAGGAGTGGGAGAAGAGCTACTCTTGCTTAATTCAAATGGTCTTTATTTCTGTTTTACAGTTGTATATGCTAGATAAATTTATGCATATTAATCACACGTTTTATATTTGAAATATTTATATCCTGCTATTTTTGTTGAGATAGCACAGAAAATAATCTGAAGCATACATTTCAATAATATTATTTATTAAATTGTCTAATCTATTTCATAATGTCCTACCCCTTCACTTTTTTTGTGTTTCCTGTATTCTTGGTATACATAAGAAATTCTCTTTACATGGCACTGAATCTTTGAACTATAATAATACATTACTTTCTGAAAGGTAGAAGCTTCCTAGGTATGAAAATGGTTCATTCCACAAGTCCTGGTAATTCTTTCCAATATTTAAAGGTATAGTCCTGAATACCAGTGACCCAGGCCCCACTGGCTTTATCAACACCGATTTTACTGAGCTGTTTGCCAGGATGCATGTTATGAAATACATTAATAGCTTTTGTTTTATTAATTTTCTTTGGGATATCATGCCAGCATCTTCTGGGCATTCCAAATTACATTTGCCATAGAGATAGGTTTGAATTAATTCTCCAAATTCAACGACTTCTCAGTTCAAGGAAGCTCAGAGGCAGGCCCTGATGTACTCCCTTCTCTTACAAATTTCCTGCCTGTGTCCCTTAGCCTTGTCCCGTGCTGTTCTCTGAAAAACCTATGCAAATTATGAATGCTTTTTAAAAAGCTCTAATTTTGTCCAGACTTGCATGAAAATAATATTGTAAAAATGCATATATGGATGATGATAGCAGACTAGGATCTTAACAGGCTGGGTTCTTCCTATTCAATTAGTTGTAAATTGTAAATCTTTCTGGCCCTAATGTAGGAGACCACTTTAACCTGGAGATATCAGCACGCATTTAAAGCATAGCCTACACTTCAATGTTTAAAAGAGCAGCTTAACAACATGCATTCCTGAAGGAATATTTATCGTGGTAGACCAGTATTTCCCTGTGACTGGGATACAGTCTCCAGACAATCCACCAAAAGAGATCTAAGTGATCATGAGACACTGAAAAATTTGTTAAAACAACACTGAGACAACTTAAATATTCAACTTTTGTGAGGTCTGACGTAGTAAGTTTGGTAGCTCCACCCTTTCCATACCCTGCAGGTGACTCTTGGCATTATCGCAGTGCTCCACAACCCACACTCCCTTATCATTCACCTACAAGAATTCAGTCAATCTCTTGAAACACACATGGAAATGATGTATGCTTACACTGAGAAATGCAGAGACGTACCATTCAGCGCTCCTATCTGAAAAAACAGTATAATTTATAGACATGAATACAAATTAGCATATACATGTACATTTATGGATTGCTGCTTTTACTTTTATGGACCTGCACAACAGACTTTGCAACACCAGTATTTTCTTTTTCCCAGCGGACAAGGGATTTGTGTGTATTAACCAGGGAAACATAGGCTCATCTCTGTATAGTGTCTTCTCTGACATTTTGCTAAACTGAAAAATTGGCTGCATTGTTGTTATGCTGTGTTTTCTAGAAGTCCACAACTGGAATGCCAGCATGCTGAAGGTGGGAATTTGTTAGAACCTTATATATATTCTATACCTTGTCAAAGTGTGGCAGAGCTCGTGTGGTCCTTCCCCAGAGCCCTTCCAGGCACTGGGGCTTACAGGGGACGTTCCCTTCCTGAAAACTAAATGTACCCCATATTTTTTACCTAATGCTTTATTTTCAGAAGCAGGTTTTCCAATATAATACAAACATAAATATTCTGCTGTGAATTCTTGTGGACTCCCTTACATTGTAGTGTACAAATTACTTTGATTATCTGATGTCAAATGGAAAAGGGACCAAAAGTGAAAGAAACAACCGTTATGCGAGACTAAAGGAATATTCATAGTTTTATGTGGTAAA